GAAGTGAAAATCGAAGATGATTGGGAAGAAAAAAGAGAATTTATTTATTTAAAAAATGTTGAAATAAAGAATCGCTTTGTGTTGAAAATAATTGAAAAGAATAATAATCAACATGATAGTTTTAATAAAAATATAGAAGTATATTTGCGTTCAATTGACTTAAATCTAGATAAAAATATGTTTGAAGTTGAAATAAATGATAAATTAGAATATATTATATCTGATCAATTAGAAAAGAAAACTTTGATTGAAATTACTAATAATGAAATAATTCTAAATTTTTTGCCTGCGTTTGAAAAGCTGGTATATTTTTATTAATAAAATTTTCATTTCATAGTTTCACAACTAACTGGCAAATAAACAATAGAAATCGTTAGCTATAACTACACTAATTTCGATTAAATTTAAGGTACTCCGAAATAATAATTTTATTGAAAATAATAATTATTATGAAACTTCAATATTGTATAATGGTGAAAAGAATAATAATTTTAATTTAATTGATGAGAGTATAGAAAATTACAAAAACAAACTTTTATCAAGTTATTGGACAGAGATTAATTTAATTGGATATAAAATTGAATTGTTAAAAAAACAAAAAGTTGAATATCCGAAAGAATTAAAAAACAGAATTATTGGAATTGGCAATAAAATAAGTATAAAAATCATTATTTTAGCCTTCTCACATTTTTCCCCATAACAATATTTTATAAATGCCTAAAATTTGTTTCTGCCGTTAATAATCGAACACGTTTTATGATTTATTCTAAATATTATAGATCAAAACAATAAGAAAAATAAGCGTTATTGTTTCAATTGTAACTCGACACAGACGAACACATGGTATATATACCTTAAGAAATACAATTTGTGCGTATCTTGTTACTCTTATAAACGAAGACATAACGGACAAAACAGATCAAACGTTTTTTGGATTAAAACTAAAAAGGTTTTAATTTTACAATTTTTAATAGATTATTCAAATAAATAATGTTTCCGTTGAATTTAAATTAAGGAAGATAGACATTGCGCATTTTGCAAAGTTAATAAAACACCACATTGGTACCGTCATTCAGAACTTTATCAATATTTATGTAGATCATGCCACGATAAACAATATTATAAAAATCGGAAAAACAAAAATTTATAAGAAAAAAATGGAATTATGAAACTATTAAAGGAATTCAAACGATGACAAATTTTTTTCTCGTAGAAACATATTTTATAAAACATGTTTTAAATGTTTCTTTGTTTTTTATCATTTATCAATATCTCCCCAACACATTATTTGAATTTATTTCTCTTTATAGTTTCTTATCAACCTTTTTTTAACCTAATTTGTATATATTTCAACTTGTAAATACTTAACCTTTCATTATTTCCCGCCCTTTATCACATATCTAAATAGCTTTTTATATTTCTAATTTTTTGCCTTATTTTGAACTGGACGTTTAATAAATAAATAGTTGAATTTGTTAGTTGATTTAATTAGTTCTTTAATAAATTGAGTGTTAAAAATGTAATTAAATATAAGCCCGGGGACATTATAATGAGCCAAAATATTGTACAAAATTTGGTTATAGAATTCACTAACCTAAAAAACGTTTAATTTATTGCGCATTTTAGCTGGATATTAAGAATAACTCAATATTCTATGGTTTAAGGATCTTATTTTAAGCTAAAATTGCTTATATGGCGAAAAAGGACGTTATACTTATATCGCAGGATGTCATTTGAGCAAACTTCAATGATCTTATATCTCCAAGACGAACAACGTGTCAATATTGTATGTGGGCACATTCGAAGACATGTATTAAATTTGGGTAGAAAAAATTTTAATACACGTGCAGATTTTAGCATATATACTTTGCAACATATCTATGACCAAAAGCAATATATTCGAAGCATCAACACCAATTGTTTTACTTTATCAATTATTCAATTAGGTTTTGAAAATTTTGGAGATTCTTAAGTCAAAACTCTTGATTTACTGAGCGGCGGACGGAAATTTTGAAAATTTTGCAAATATTATATTCAGAAACTTGAAAAAATTTTGAAATGGCAAAATATGGCCAAAAAGAGGGAAAATATGCACGAAACGTCAAAAATGCTAAAATATGATGTATATGGATTCTCAAATTGCTTCAAATTGGAAAATAACAACGGGAAAACGCTAGTCAAATCAGATAAAATTATTTCTTCTATCATGCCGAATGATATCGCCTATCGATACCGCCTATCTCACTCTTCTAATTCCCTTTAATCACCCATTATCGCTCCAAATCCACATTGTCCATGCAAATCCTCCGATATATTAGTTTCAAATTACGGCAAAATCAATTTTCTATTAATGTTTTGTTTATTCTTTTTGATCCGGATTTTTAATTTAATTCATTAGATTATTATCTGCTTTTATCACTTTATTTCTTTGTAATTTAAGAACTAGAGCCCGGTTCGATACGATATTTTTTCGATATTTTTCGATATTTTGTTTCGATGTTTATCGAAAAATATCGACCGAGAAAATTTTGACTTTTTCGGTATTTTTCGATATTCGATATTTTTCGATATCTATCGAAAAATATCGACCGACCCCTCCGGCCGGGCTCTATTAAGAACACAAAAGAAAAGAGAAATTTTAGAAATTTAAAAATAAGAAAAATATTTTCAAATTACACGAGTAAAATAGGTGAATGTATTTTATTGAATTGGGTAACCTCTCGATAAAGGGAAAATTAATCGAGGAAGGCAAATTGATAGAGGTTATACAGTATTATTTTTTTAATAATATTCATTTTTAATTACTTCTTTCCAAAAATTTTGTTATAAAGTTTGGGCATTTATAGTAAGTTGCAATCATTGAATAATATTTAAGTTGGTGAGAGCTCATTAAACGATAAGTATATTCATTTTCAATACTTTGATTAATTAAACGAAAACATTCGTCCAATCTCTGAGCCCCTTCGATTAAACCTAATATTCGTTGATTATATCGAAGTAAAATATTTGTACATTTAACAGATTCGTTATAGAGTAATTCCTTTCCTTCGGGAGACAGATCTTTAGCATCTTATAAAATTAAAGTTTATTTAATTTGAAATATAAAAATAGGGGTGATAGGATGTTGTTATTTTTAAATTAGATTTGCCGTTTTCGAGTCGGGCCGTCGAATCCGACAGGTCTTTTCTCTATCAATGTCCCTTCTTTAAATATGCCAAAGGGCAAATAGAGTAGGAGAGGTCAGACTGGAAGTTTTTTTCGGGCTAAATATCCTAGGACCGACTCGATTTTTCGGTCCGAGTCGGTCAATTTTGGCAACCCTATTTTTATGGCTCAATCAGTGCTCATTAAAAAGCCACAACACCATTATTAAATTAAAATGTTTACCTGATTTTGAATAAATAATAGCTATTAACAAAGCAAATTCAACGTTTGTTAATGAAGCACGTTTAAAATGGGAAACAGATTTTGTAAATAAAATTTCTGTCCATCTAATTACTCTAAAAATTGAATATCAAAAACAATTTTTTTGAAATTTTTAGTAAAATTTTCATAAAAATATTTACTTATCATCATTTAAGAATACAGGATTCTTCTTAACACCAAGAGCAGGCATAAAATTATCTTTACGTTTCCATGTTTCTGAGCCTAATTCCCAAGCTAGGTAGGTGTTTGTAAATATAGCAAACAAATGACATATCTGCCTTAGATGTGCAATCTATTATTTAAAAATAATCTTTAAATCTTGACAGCAATCGAGGCTACAATAAAACAATAATTACAATAAAATTCCGGTTCAACACTAAATATAATCAAAAATAAATGAACATAAAACACCTGATCAGCTAAAGTCAATTTCTCAAAAACAGGCATAGATTTAGCTAATCCAACACACAAAAGTCTGTCAACTAAAATGCATTTTTGAACTCTACTATTTAATATTCCTTCAGTTTCCACTGAAGTTTCACAAATATTTAATTCATCAAAAAATATTGTACTTGGATTTGACTTTAAACCAAAATTTTAATTAAAAATTAAATTATAATTTACCGAGAAATTGCCAGTTAAACGAAAAATATTAAAATTATATAAAATTATTTCTTCAAACAAAATCGGGCCATGAAGGAATATATCATCCAAATCATCAAATGCATGCATAATACGTTTTTTGGCTTCAATAATTGGTAAAAGTGAGTCTACCAGGTTCTTGTCTTTGGTGGTTAAGTCGACAGTTGGGGAATTTAGTATCTTAATAATAAAGAGATAAATATGCCCTAGTCTTTGTTCATTTGGGCATTCAGCATATTTCAATATATATGGAAATGTTTAATCAATTATATAAATCTCCGTAGATTTTATTTTGGCAAAGATAATTGGATGTTTTTCTTCGATTTAGATGATTTGAACTTTTTCAATATTCGATTTTTTTCGAGACAACCCTAGTCAGCAGTAATAGTGTTTCCAATTAGTGTATAAAATAAATAAATTTACGGTAATTTCATTTTTTTGTTCTTCCATCATTTCATGGCGTATATCTCGACGTATATATCCAACCTCTAAAATATTTTTCATTAAAAATTATTTTAAATATAGGATGCCGTATTTGCGGTAATAACTACGCTTGCTGATTATTGTTTAGAACTCCAGCTGTAGTTAGATGTTAATAGAGATGGGGTTCTTAATGTTATTCTAAATTCATTAAAAAATTCGTAAAATTATATACCTCAGCTCTTACCCATGAAGGGGTATAAAAGGAGTTGAGTGATTAAGAGAGTATTGGTGATTTGCAGGAATATCGGGGGATTTTTGGGTAAACAGTGTTTAGGTCAATTAATTTATCAGTTAACGGAAACCAATAAACTGATCGGTTGGAGTTTCGAGAAATGGTGTTACCCTTATTTTGACATACCCAATTTTTTCATTCCAACAGAAAAACATTTTTCAAGTCGACATTTTTTACATTTTGCCAAATCTGGGTGGGATTTTTCGTCTGTATTCTTTTATGAACATTTACATTTATTATATTTCCATTCATTTTCGTTTGCAAGATAACGCCTTTTGAAAAGAAATTTTTAAAATTAAACAAAATAAAAAATACCTGAAGAAAGCCCCACAAGCCCTACATGTACAAACTCCATAATGAAAATAAACATGTTCTTTTGCCCCACAAACTTTGCATTTTTTAATAAAATTTCTTTGCATTTTAAAATTACAATATTTTTTCTAATTAAAATAAAGTTGATAAATGCTTATTATCAGGCTTTTAAGGCAAGGTTTCGATCTTGAATTTATAAAAATCCACAATATTTTTTTATTCCAACAATAGAATTGAGCAATTTTTTATTACAGACGATAATCTTACGAATATCCGGTATATTATCTAAAAATTACACTTGAATTTTTGTCATCGAAGACTCCACAAATTTTTATTTTTTTCAGCACCGCAGGCGAAAATTAATATAATTCTGGATATCCTTAAGTCGAAAATATCCATTGAAAATTTTAACGCTTTTCGAAGGCCGTAAGAGAAATAAATGGCATTTTATGCTAAAACATTTTATGCTAAAACCAACAACTAAATATAAAAAATTCTCATAATCTTCGAAAGACCACAAAAATCCGCATTTATTAAAATAATCCTCATTGACATATCAAAATACCACAAAATGAGGTTTTAAGGACAACCCAGTTTTAAGGATATTTTATAAAAATTTAAACAAACAGTTTAATTAAAGAAAATCGTTTATAGAAATTTTTTCAGGCAAAAATAATTTTTATTTTAATTGAAAAAAGAAATACGGCTTATTAGTTATAAAATAATTAATATTAAATATTTTAATTTTTTTATCCCATTGGATATAATTTTATATTCATTTGGCAAAATTATTAGTATACTAAAATTTAAAAAATTATGTGAATAATTTTGGCTATTCGAAGTTATTAAATTTTAATTTCAAAAAAATTACCAGCTGAATAAACAAATATTTAAAACAAAAATTTTAAGGGATATTATGAGGGATATTCTGGCGTTAATTGAGGGAGAATTGCAAGGGGTAATTATCTGAGAGAACAAGAGAGAGAGAAAGAAATTATTTGAGCATATACGTTAATTGAGCTTTTTCAATCATTATCTAATTTTATATCCACAATTAGCTCCCTTTTAATATTTAATTTTTTTATCATTTTGTCAAGAACTTCTTGCATCTTTTAGAAAAAGGTAACCAAAAATTAATTGGACACCTTATTTATGCCATAATTTTATTCGAATTAAAGATAATGAGATCAAATAAAGATTTAATGGTAAAGAAATAATCAAAAATTTTCGAAGTTGAATTTCATCATAGCAATTCTGTCAATTCCAAAAACAGAACAAAATCAGAAGCTTACGCCAATACATTTCCCCTCCCACTACTTCTTAATTTTCCTTCTGAATTTTTGGAAGGAATTGCCTTGTGAACGTTCTGAGTAAAAATTTAATTATTTTATTGACTGCTTGGGTATCATGATGCAATAGTGTTTAGTTGAGGAAGAGTGTTTAAGCATTTTGAAAAAAGGAGAGTTGTGGTAAGAAATTGAATTTTAGCTAAAATTTATTTAAACCAGCTAATTAAACATACATACTATAAAGAATAACCAAATTAGACGGAAATTGATTTTTTAATCGCTAATCCAAAGGATTTTGAGAGTTATAGCTTTGACATTAAAGATTTTTAGAAAAGGAAAAAATTCATTTTGTATTGATTTTTCAACCTGAATAATTTCGGAGTTTTACTCACAATTTTTTAATAAAAACTTGAAGGAACTTAGTAGAGACTAGAGACCGGATCGATACGATATAGCGATAAAAAATATCGATGTAAAAATATCGATGTCGATTATCGATATCGATATAGATATTATCGAACGATAAATTTTTGATATTCTTCGGTATAAATTTCTTTTAACTTTAGATATATTGGAATAATGTTTTATTTCTTTTTTTAAATTAAATAGTAGTGAACGGCGCCGGACGGGACTATGCCGGAGCCAGGGTCCCAAATCCGGGTTTTTTGAATCAAATACGGCTCTAGTTGCCAACTGCATCAGTCTGCACAGTTAGGTCTCCCTTGTATATCAGTCTATATAGTTTAATGGTATTTAAAATTCGTAAAGGGATATCAGTGAATTTTGAGGGATAAGGATTTGCGTGATTAAAGGAGATATGGAGATAATAAAGGAGATATTTTATTTTTAAGAAAAATTTAATAAAGGGATACTTTTATCTTTAAAAGATTTTAAGATAAAAGTTCATACATATAATAATATCTGTAACCTAATTATAATAAACGATATAATTAAATTTTATAAATAATAACTCAGACTTATAATATATTTCTATACATTGAAATCTTTTCCTTTTAAATTCTTATTTGGTTTTTTCTTTGTTGAATATCCGCGCTGTTTACAGCCACATGCATTGCATAAATCGTGTCCAAGTTTTGGATGAAAGCGCCAACATGGCGATCGTGTTACTCCGCAATTGAAACATTTACGAGCTTGCTAAATAAATTCATTTAAAATTTTTTTCGTTTTATGATTTTAAACATACTCAGTAACAACTGAACTTTCTTGAACAGACTTTCAAGAAAAATTTCTATTATCTTTAAATATTAAGCTTAGTTAAATAATTAAAGACCAACTCTGGATATAATTTTTATCATCAACAAAATAAAAAACTTATTTTTAAGCAAAGCTTGGGTTCTTAATTATTCTGGAAATAAAGCAGTTAAAAATTGGTAATTGATTTTTGGTTATGCACGAAGAATTTTGGTTAATAAATAAATATGCCCTTGAAAAGCTCATTTTCGCATGCGGCGCAAAAATTTGAATTTTTTTTCTACGGCTTTTCAAAATTCTCAAAATATTTTTCTGGTACTTTCTAAAATATAGAAGACATACCTTTAATTATTTTCTAAGTATCTTACTAACTTGGATAAATACAAACCTTTTTAATTTTATTCCATAATTCTTTTGGTCTGAGCTTCCCAAATTTTCGATTATAATCCCCACATTTGTGGCACAAATAATTCCCTTTTATGTATATATACCATTGTGAAGTGCTTATTGCTCCACAATTTAAACATAGTCTCTTATTGTCCTCAATCATTCCAACTTTAATATTTAAAATTAAAATTTTTAGCAAATGAATTGATAAACAAAAATAAAAAATTTATTTACTCATTTTATTGCCAATATAAATAATTCTGCTTTTTTCTTTCGGATATTCTACTTCTTGTTTTTCTAACAACTCAATTTTATATCCAATTAAATTAATTTCCGTCCAGTAACTTGATAAAAGTTTGTTTTTAAATAATTCTATATTATCTTTTAATAATTCTTTTTTATTTATATTTTCTAAACCTTCCTCTAATATCGAAGTTTCATAATAATTATTATTCATGACAAAATTATTATTTAGTCGAATCTTAAATATTAAATTTGAGTAAAATTAGAGGCTTAAATTTCGAATAATCAAATATAAAATACCTGTTTTCCCAAGTTTTTCAATATTTTCTTGACAATTTCATTATTGGCCATCTCAATTAAAATTCTCATTTTTAATTGAGAGCTGAATTTAGCCTTTCCACTTAGTTTAACAATAAAAACTTTATTAACAGGATTTACTTCAAGCTTACAAAACGATCCATTATTCTTATAAAGATAATCAACTATTCTATTTCCTTGTTTTACATTCATTATCAAAACAAAACGTTCCTTTATTCGAATACTTTTTAAATAAATAAATTCTCTTTTTTCTTCCCAATCTTCTTTTATTTTTAATCCCATCTCAAACATTTTACCCTTGATTTGGATATTCAACAGAACAACGAAATATGAAAAAATAATAATAAATTTTTTCATCTTAAATTTTAATATTAAAAATATTTTATAAAATAAAAGTTTAATCTATTTGACATAACTGACATTAAATGTTTTGTTATAACTATAGTAGTATGATAAACTTTATTACCGATAAGCTTCAAAATATTATCGATCGGGTTGTCGTACTACCGATACGGAATATCCATAGATACCGTAAAATATAACCGTAGAACGATATCGTCCGGCCTCTATTAAATAAAATAAAAAAATAACGGGGATCTAGTGTAAAAAGTCCTAAATAAAATAGCATCTTAAAATAGAGACGAAAAAATTGAATACATATTTTAATTATTTGTTTACCCTGTTAATAAATAGGGATGCATTTTGAAATATTTAATTAGACTTTTTCGAAATTTCGATTTTCAACTGGGATAAATCAAGATTTCGTACCAAATATTACAAAACAGCTATTAAAAACCGAGCCGAAGTACAAAGTTAAATAAATAAAAAATTTTATTTTTACTATATTAAAAGAAAGTACAAATTTTAAAAGTCCAAAAATGGCAAAAAATAAATATAAAAATTTAATTCGTCTCTTGAGGAATTAAGAAATTTGCACTTTTGTCAATTAACAATGTTAATAAAATTATTCAAAAGAATTACTGTTGTTTGTTTTTAAATTTTAGAAATATTCTGCAAACTTAAGTTTAATGTTTTTTAAAGACTAAAGTTTTAAAATTTAATGTTGTTGAAATTTTGTTATTCACATAGTTATATCATTGAAAATTATTTAAATTAGAGAAATATTTAAGCAATATATATTTATAATTATAATTTTCATATTATTATATTAATTATTATTTATTTAATAATATGAAAATAAAAATTAAATGTTTAAATAAAAATAAATGATAATTGGGAAGAAAAAAGAGAGATTATTTAGTTAAGAAATGTAACTCAATTAGTGTTTTTGTTTTGAAAAAATTGAAAAACATAACTTATGAATAATACATAGAGAATCATTCTTAATCTATTTAATTAATCCCTTAGACTCATTTTTAAAATTTAAATAATAATAAATCAGAATTTAATGATCCATTAAAAAAGAAAGTTGCGATTGAAATTTTTAAAATAAAATTATTAAAATAATTTTAAAAAATTTAACTTAAGTTTGCAGAATTTTATGAAATTTAAAAACATACAACAAATTTTATTTTGACTAATTTTATTAAATTGACAAAAGTGCAAATTTCTTAATTTCTCAAGAGACAAATTAAATAATTACCTATATTTATTTTTTGCCATTTATGGACTTTTAAAATTTGTACTTTCTTTTAAAC